CCCTGCCACCCGTGGGTGCCCCACACCCTTCATGTGTCCCTGCCACCCACATGCACCCTGTGTGCCCCTGTCACCCATGGGCACCTCAGCACCCAGTACCCCCTGCCACCCAGGGGTGTCCCCACACCCCATGGCTCCTGCCACCCACGGGTGCCCCCCCACCCGGGTGACTCACGCCGTGCCCTTCTTCTCGAAGCCCTGCGGGGTGGCGCAGGTGGCCCTGGCCGCCAGCACGAGGAAGAAGATGCTGACCTGTGGGTGCAGAGGGGTGAGCGGGTGGGGCGCGGGCACCCATGGGGGACCTGGGCACCCCCCCCAGCCCCCCCATACGCACGGCCACGGCGCAGGCGATGGGCCCCGCCAGGCTCCAGACCAGGCTGTCGTGGATGGAGAGCCAGCAGAAGTCGGGGTTGCCGTAGCCCTCGGGGTCCAGCCCCACCGCCAGCCCTGCCCCCACAGGCACGGCTCAGGGGCGGGGCCACGCCGGGGGGGGCGGGGCTAACCGCCAAGGGGCGGGGTTAAGAGAGGAGGGGCGGGGCTAAGGCGGGGTGGGGCATGGGATAGCATGAGGATAGCGCAGGGCTGGGGAGGTGGCTATGCTCTTGGGGGCGGGGCTATGCTGGGTGAGGGCGGGACTATGGCCCTGGGGGGTGTGTCTAACATCTTGGAGGCGGGGCTATCATGGAGGAGGGTGGGGCTATGGACCTGGGGGTGTGTCCAAGAGGCTGGAGAGGGCTATGCTCTTGGGGGTGGGGCTATGGTGGCTGTGGGCGGGCTGACCTCTTAGGGGCGTGGCTATGTTTTGGGGCGGGGCTATGCTATTGGGGCGGGGCTATGCTATTGGGGCGGGGCTATATGCTCTGGGACAGGGCTATGCTGTTGGGGGCGGGGCTATGCATGGAAATGGCACCCCACCCTGCACCAGGCTGATGGGGGAAGTGGTTTAGGGGGTGGGGCCAAACCCTAGAAGGGGGTGGGGACACCCAGAGGGTGTTGACCCAGGTGGAGGTGGGTGCCCAGTGGTGGGGGTTCCATGGGGCAGGGCTAGGGCCAGGGGGCGAGGTTAGGGCCAGGGGGCGGAGCCCGGCTCTGTGGGCGTGCCCTACCGGTGATGAAGGCGGGCAGCCCCCAGCCCAGGACATGGTAGAAGCGCATGGGCCCACGGTCGACGTGGCGGGGCTCGCTGCGGCGCCGGTAGAGGTGCAGCCCCTCCAACAGCGCCCAGCCCACCGCGCTCATGTAGAGGAACTGCAGCAGGATGGCCACCACCGTGCACGCCAGCTGTGCCCCACATGTTACTGCCCCGCCCCCTGGACACACCCATCTCGCCCACA